GCCTGCTGCACCCATGGTACGGCAGCAAAGTTCCTTGATTATTACGCCGGAATGAGAGTATAGTTCCTAGCCATATCAGCCTAGAAAATTGCAACTTTTCATTTTCCGTTGGTCTTAGTACACGATGTAACTACAGAAGAGTCAAGTTTTAAATAGGAAAAATATAGAAACTCTTTGGTCATTTTTGAGCAAGATGCTAACGGTTAGGCCTGCACAATTAATCGTTTGCAAACCGAAATCACGATTTGAAAGGGTGCGATTTTCAAATCACAAGAGCTGCAATTATTTCGATGAAGGACTATCAAATATGTAACAAGCATCTACGTAGTTTTTAGTTTTTGACTTCATGAGCATTTTACTTTGATGCAAAGTCTGCCAAATAGGGGGCATTTTAACACTGCACGTGCTGACTGAAGCAGCAAATAACACCATTTGGAAAAGATAAGCACGAGCGGGAGCAGCAGTTCAACTTCCCAACAGTGTGTCTGCAGAAGAGCAAAGTCCTGCAGACGACTTGGTACCTAAACGAAAAAGCACCGCATATGTTTGGAATTATTTTGGATTTCGACAAATCTATGATGAATGCATGGCCAAAAGGCCCACCGATGAACACACTTATGGCGCTTTTCCACTGCATAGTACGGTTCACTTTTGGGGGGTTTTCCACTGGGTACAGTACCTGGTACTTTTTTTAGTACCACTTCGGTTGGAGTTCCAAGTGAACCGTTCCATTACCAAACCGTGACGTGTAAACTCTGCTGATCACGGATTGGCCGGAGAGAATGCAACTGTTTTGAACGAGCGCACCTTTTTTTAACAACCAAAACGTTTTGTTGTCTGTTGCGGAAGAACAGACGTTCCTCTCGTTGATAGCAGAGGAGCGGGTCCAGCAAGAGCTTGATGGGGCGATGTGGAATGAAAATGGTTTTTTTAGGAGTCGCGGCAGTAGAGGCGGCGCAACTATAACGACATGTGAATAATCCCGCCCACTCTAAAGCGGTACTGAGCTGCAGTGGAAACGCAAACCGTGCCAAGCCGAACCATGCCGTGCCGTACCGAGCCGAGTCGTACCACGTAGTGGAAAAGCGCCATTAGTCACAATCACCACGACTGACATCCAAGCAAACTTCTATTGCTCAAGCGTTATAAAGTGGCACACACTGGGGCAGTCTGTCTCATATTTTCTTTATGACCGCGAAAAGAACTAAAATACTTTGTCAGTTTTGATCGTACAGATAAGAACAAGGTATCATTTGAAACTGCAAAGGGTCTACTTTTATTTGTGTATAGTCATAACAACAAAATGTGTTATTGTAAAAAAAATAAAAAAAATAAACAGGGTGCGTTCTCCGCTGTCTCGGTCACTGTCACCTCTCTTCACAGACACGTAGGGCTGGGTATCGAGTTTGATACTTTTTAGGCACCGGCCGAATTGCCTCGATACCATCGAGTATCGAAAAACGTCTCGTCGTTCGGTACCAAATTTCGATACCCAAGGGGTTCATCTCATCAGCGTCAGTGAGCCAATAAGCCTGCAGCACTAGCCAGTGTGTTCGACTAAAAGAGGTGTCTTTTCGATCATCCGCGCAGATCGATCATCCGCGAGAGCGAATCGAAAGCGCACGGAGCAGTCTGCTCTCTTTAGCTCTCGTGGTACTGTAATACCACCAGTATAGAGTAGCGCGGGAGCTGCGTGGAGTTCCGATCATATGCAGATGTACTTCATACTAACGTTACACGACCGAAAGCACGTGTTATGTGTCCATTCATGCAAACTGTAGCATCATGCTACACAAGACAATAAATAAGATCTATATTCCGCTTTTACTCAAAACTCACTTTAAACCACCATCGAGTGTTTGTAATTACTTCCGATTGCTGTCTAACAGGGCCGGATTTATGTATTGCTCAAGACATTGAGCAAATAAATATAACAAACAATAGGGTGAAAAAATGACAAACTATTTCCATGTCTTCCACCTTTTTTAAGCAGGCTACGGAAATCATGCTTTCTTTCTCCCAATCTCTCTCACAGATGCGCACACACAGTGCAGACACGCGGAGACGTGAACAGAAAATTCTTGTCAGTGCTGCACCGCGAATTTATCAGTAAAATAGTTTCGCAGCTGAAAAGCTACATGACATTTCTCAGTAGCGAGGTTCATGAAGGAGTTTAACTTGCTGCTGAGAGACGCATAGACGCAGGTATTCACACGCACTTAATCTTTCTCTCTCTCTAATAACTGCATTAGACTGCATTAATAACTGCGTAAGCCTGCATATCAATGGTAAAGTAATCCGTATGAAACATACATGATGTCCAGTTTTCCCGTCTCAACTCATTATATCTAATGCGGTCACGCCCACAAACCGATCGCGTTTTTCAGATTCTAAACATCCACATAAGACACGCGCGCATGCAAACACCCACATCGCCTCCGCATAAACAAACGTGAAGAGTTCATTCCAGCTACTTTTTGTTTCTGGAAGACGCGCTGAGAGAAATAACCCATAATTTACCTCACAACGCAATGCGTCGCACAGCTAGATCCAGTGGAGAATATCACTCTGATGAGTAGCCTAAGATTACTTGCATCTGGTGTTGTTGTTATTGTGACATAACTTGTACACATTTTGCTAGTTACTAATTCCTGACCACATGTTTGAAATCAAGTGAAACATTTTGAAATATGTGATATTTCATTGTCTAAATGTCTCACAACGCCAGGATGTTTGTTGATAATGTTTTAACATATAAAACCACAAGATATAAAAGTAGTGCGAGTGTTAACACTATGAATTAATGTTTGACACAAAGGTGTGTTACTGTTCAAGTCTCAAGTGTTCAGATGAGTATGTTCAATCATGTGTCCTTGACCTTCACGGTGTATATTTTTATTATACTGTATTGCAAATAAAATACAAATAATAATCAAAAACCCACATTATTTTACTCTCCTCGCACGCTCTTACCTGCCTCGGTTCAGTCGCATTCATATTGATGGCCCATTATGGGAGGCCCTTTGTCTCTCAGGTGTGAATCACTAAATATTCATGGCCATTGTCACCCCCTTGCATTAGGGCATTCTATCACAAAACATGTTTTACAAATGTTAAATCAATATATTATTTTCTGTAAATAAGTGAACAGGACAGTTTTCACATCATTTTGTAGCAAAAACTCTAGTCTACCACATTCTCAAAAGTCTTGTGAACAAATGTTCTGTATGTGTTTTATGACTTTATTTCAGTGACTTAAAAAAAAATAGTTTTTCACTAACCATGCATAAACATTTTCTCAAAAACACAAACATGTACTTTCATGCTGCTCACAAATTACCGTAGCCCAGTTTGTGCTGAATACAGTGCTATCAGACTTTAGCCATTACATTTTTTTTTAAGATATCGAAAAAACACAAATGTCCAGGCATGTCAAAACTTCTCCAGGGCCCCAAAACACCATCAGACCCCAGAGGATTAAATGGCAAAAACTTTTGCGGTCATTGTTTCAACCTTAATGTAGGTTATGGTCAGTGTTTTACTGATGTAGAATTGTTTACAGTGTGTTTGGGTTCTTACAAGGTTAAGATTTTATATATAATTGTTAATTTAACTTTAAGATACTGTAGTTATTTTCTTAATTTGTCATGACAGATGTTTGCATCATGACAACTTTATTAAAAAAATGGCCACAATGTTTAAGAGGTTTTAAATAAACAGTAGCACAGTGTAGCATAGTTTGTGATAATGCTTGGCATTTCTTTGGTTC